GGCTGATTAATAAAAGCAATTATAACAAAAACAAGATTGTAAGACAAGGCATCACTAGAACATGTTAAAAAATAACTAAAGTTCTTTTACTGCCCAGGACTAGAACCCAAATCTTATCACTCTACTCTCTTACTTAAGCTTTTATTGCTTAGTCTCTAAATGAGGAATCTTACTATCTCCCTTAGTGATTTATCTATCAGAGAACTTCTCTACCCTAATCCTTGTTACCCTCTTTCACAACCTCACCTTGGCCTGGGACCTCACTTTATTCTCTTTCACATCTCCAACCCAGCCCTCGACTTGACTTCACTCTCTAAGATGTCTCAATGACGATGAAGTTCATTAAGTAGCATTTAAGACTTAAAGGGACTTTATTTTAGACAATCATCACTGTGATAAATATAATGTTAGCCTTAAATTTTATGAATTTATGTACCTATCTTAATTTTAATAGATCAATTTTAAGAATAATAAATGTTATATATCTCAGCTGAAGGTCAATACAACCACAAACTTCTCAGAAAAAAAGATGACTGTGATCTTAGCCCAATTCATATGCTAATGTTATCTCACTGCTTGCTTGAAATGTACAAAATAAACTTCTGCTGACAGCAGAACAGGAAGACTTGCACCCAACTCCGATTCCCCTGTCTTCCTTGCGCCCACTCCCCTTTTCTCCCCCTTTTAGGAATCTCTGCTCACCAATGCCTCTCCCACCTTAAGACCCTTCCTATTATGCTCCCCAACAACCCGTGATTGGGGTCAGTACCCAACAGTTAGTGTTGTTAAAGAATTGCAAAGGATCTGAGATTTTCCTGACCTAAAAGCTAACAAATAAGCATGTCAGTTTCATACATGCTGGGAGAAGAGATTCTGAAGTCAGAGACAAAGGACCACATTACTCACAGAAGTAGCAGTAGCAGGAGTATCCAGAGCATGGATAATAGGAGCAAGAGTAGCAGTGTGCCCATTTCCTGAAACCCAATGCCCACAGTATGATGCAAAGAAAACAGGTAATACCTGTAAACCTCAGTGAATTGCATTACAGAAGGGGAACCCTGAGATCAGGGACTGGATCTTTTAGACTAGATAACAAGCCTACCTGTTTGCTCCACAAGAGAAGACTGACAACCTCTATCTTCTAAGGCTGAGTGTTATATAAATGCCATTTAACGGGCTGCCTGGAATAGGAACAGTCATTGTCTCTGCTCACTAGACAGACAGAATTTGAGTGATTAATGGAGACTTAGCTTCCAATAGTGAAAGCATCCTACATACCTCTGAAATCCACCCATCGTTCTTCTTCTTAGTTGTATATTTATTTCTAGTAATATTTACCTATTGCTATGAAAGTCTATTACAAAAGCTTTCTAAATGATGACCCAGTTTCCACTACAGCCTCTGAACAGTCATTTCCATACAATAGCCTGAAGATACCTTGTAAACACAAATCTCATCTCATCTATGTCCCTCTTGTTTCAGTCTTTAACATCATCCACTGCTCTTAAGATTAAAACCAACCCTCCTTAGCAGATTCCACAGGCCCTGAATGATGTGACTGGATCCCTACCTGGACACTTCCCTTTACCTTCTTCCCTTCAGCATTCCTTCCACCACACTAAACTCATTTCCTTAAGTGCACAGCTCATAAAGGAGTGGTCCATGGGTTGAATTCCAACTACAAATGTATCTGGTTTGCACCATAACAGTTGTTTAAAAAACATTTGCACCACCTCACATTTGGAGAGATTCCACATCTATAAAATAAGAACTTTAAGCTTCTCTTCAAAGAATCATGTCATCTGGTAATACTTGATCTGCATCCCAACCTATCAACACTTGACTGGAGCTGAGTCTCTACTGCTCCCCTTTAAGTCTAGCTGTCTCCAGGCAGCCACACTGCTCACTCTTATGCTCATATTAACTACCTGACTTCACGCTAATGTGTCATTCTCTAATCCCCTTGGAACCTTTTTCAATCCTTCAACTTCTTCAGCTACTATTGCTCATTCCTTAGCGTTGGTATATTCATGGGATTTTTCCCTGTCTACCATGAACCTCAATTAGGATGAAGTGGTCCATTCTATGTCACCCACCTACACCCAGGCCCCTCACCCTTCTATGTTGTCTGTCTTCTGTGGTTCTCTGCATTACCCCATCATGGCACAAGTCAAAATAATGAAAAATGTCTATTTCCTTCTCTTCCCAGAATTTTAGGTCATAAAAGGGTAGCCATGACTGTCATGCCAGTGTCTAGGAAAAGGCATAACAAATACTTTGTAAATACTTGTTGACTTAAGTAAATTAGCTGAGGAACAGCTAATTCAAAATATTTAAAGGGGTGTGTGTTTACATTTTTAAGTATTTCTTTCTTTTTTTAATTTGAACTTTTGAAATGTCCTCCTCCAAACCCAAGAAAATGAAATAATTATTGGAGTAGTGTTTGTACTCAATAACAGGCCATCTGCAAAGTACTTAACATGGATTAGAGCATTTAATCCTTACTACAGTCCTTTGAGCTAGAGACTGCCATTATTCCCACTGAAGATGAGAAATTAGGGAATGTTTGTTGTTAAGTAATTTACACAAATCAATTATGTAAATGCCTAGACAGCACTTAAATCCAGGTTTATCAGAACACAAAGTTAAAATTCCTAATCATACACTATTTATCAATATGAAATTTTTAATGGATCCTGAATGATACAGGAATGGGAGAAACCATATAGCTAATTAGGAGGCAATAGGAATTATAAACTCTATTTCTTTTACTAAATATTCAACCTTGGGCAGGATGAAGCCTTATTCTCTACTTCAGTACAGTAAATTGTAGGTGATAAAGAAGACAAACCTTATCCCAGTAGACCTGACACACCACCAACTTTACTCAGTGCCCTTCTTTTAAGCTATTGGTATGTGGTTTAACAATTTGCTTTTATTGAGTCAAGGTGTTAAAGAGGTGAAGAAATTTCTTATACAGACAAGAAGCTTTCTGGCTTAGTAGTAATGACTATTATGCCAAATCACAGTTTCCAGGGCAGTGACAAGATCTTTAATCTCATTTCACAAATAAGAAAACAGAGATATTGAGCCAAAAAGGCCAAGTGTAAAGTCAACTTCACATCCCCACATCCCTCAGGCTGTACCTCAGACTGCTTGGCCTTAGAGTGTGAGTTGAATCTTAGCCACAGTGGTGGCTAAGAAAGCCCAGCAGATGAATGAATTCTTCCTAGGAGCATGAAGAGAAATAAGGGAGGCCACTGAGACACAACAAATATCACCTAATATGGAAGGAAAAAACTCTGGTCATCTTTTCTGAATAGAATTCTTGTCTATCATTCCTTTAAAATAGTTTTTTAAAAAAACTCTCATTAACAATCTTGTAACTTTTTAAGTGAAATTTCCTGTCAATTCGGGGTCTACTTGATTTTTAAAGTAGTCAAGTTTCTAGCTATTCAAAACATTATATTCAACCCCCATGTTTTTTTTCCTAGACAGCATAATTTCCTTTCTCAAGAAGTTGTCAGGAAAAAATTTTGTATGTGTACCATAAGTTAGCTTACTGACTAAATTAGAAATGAAATTTCTATAGCTTTTAACATTTGATTACCACATCATACAGGTAGGCATTCTTTTTTGAGCTTTCACTCTAAAAATACAGAATTCATTTTATTTTCAAGAATGTCTCCCATTTGATGAAGTAGAGATTCCTGAAATTATTTCAGGAAACAATGGTTTAGCAAAAGATGTTATTTGTTCCAATCTATTCAGTAGATTCACCAAATAACGATCTTAGTGGCCTTTTGATAAAATATTCTTAACAAGCATTCTACTTGCCATAAGTAGTGATTAGAATATACTTGCTGGTGGTGTAAAAATATGAAATAAAAATACTTTGTTAATTTTGGGAGCCACTTTAAGACAAGGAATGTATTCTATGTTTTCTATTTTTTGAAGCACAGAGCACTAGACATTGCACAATACAGAAACTCATGACATGTCTATTAAGTCAGGTATTCATGAATAACAGGATTTAGCTATTTAATATCAACTCTGAAGCTGACATTCTTTGATCACGTACTTGTTTTCATAAATCAATTGAAGTGTGCTAGCTATTGTGACTGTAAATTGTGATTATAAACTGAAAATTTACAAACAATAGGGTACATGTCCTTTGAGCTAAATGTCTGAATTTATTTTACTAGAATGACAGCTATTTCCTGAATTATTAAAATTAGCAGCAAATCTAAATCCGCACCTATGAGGGAGTAGAAACTGAAAAAGATTGAAAAACATCTGCAAACAAAAGTTCTTCTTTCCCAAAAGGGACCAAGCGCAATTTGAATTTCTATGACCATCGAAAGATGTAAGTGAAATTTATAGCTTTGCACTTCAGTGGGAAAGAGACGATTTCAACTGTGAACACTAATGACCACATCCACAAACTCGAGTCTTTCATCCCAACAAAGCTACAGGTCAAATCACCTAGAGAGACAGAACTACAAGTCAGTTGGAGGACCTGAACTCAGATGATGAGCACACAGTGCCGGCCATGAGGCAGTTCACGAGACCAGAAACCAGGGCTCAAAATCAAGCACCACACCGAAGCCCATCAATGGGCGTCAGAAGTATCCCGAGCAGTGGGAAGAATCACGCACAGTTCACAGACAGAACGCAAAGGATCCAGAGTATCTCCAGGCCACGCAAACGGGAAGGTGACTGAAACCAGGCTTAGATCCCGCTGTTAACTCCATCGCTGAATACTTTCCATCCCGCCACTGGGATCACCGTTCGCGGGCGACTTACACTCGAAGGCCGGCCACCCGGCACGAAGGAGAGCCGAGCCCCGCAAGGACGCGAAAGCGGACAGGGTAATTCCCACCCTTCCCGGCACTCTCCGCTACTCGAGCGCCCCAGGTCGCCACTCCAGCCCGGCACCCCCAGTTTGCCCCCAAAACTAGTCTCAGGGATGGGCCTGGTAACCGGGGAGTCTTTCTCACCGTTATGGAGAGTCCTCCAAGTTGGAGACGGCAAAGGCGAAGAATAAATGAACACTCCGTCGCAAGGAGAAGTGCAAGGTGAGGAGGACTGGAGGGAAGGGTGACCCCTCACGAACTGACAAGGCCTGGGTGCTGGTGGGGAGGAGGGCCCTGGGAAGTGTGGGGCGCGAGAAGACGGCTCGGTCCCTCAGACCCTCCCTGGCCGTGGCGCCGGATCCCGCAACGCGAGCAGCCCGGGAGGAAAATCACTGCTACCTCGGGCGCCGGGAC